TTGCTTAACAACCCATGATCCTTGCTTAATGACAGCAGTGGGGATTGTCGGGACTGCCATTGCTAAGCAATGTGGTCATGTGACATTGTGCTTTACAACTGCATTGCTTAGTAATGGAAATTCTGGTTCCAATTACCGTTGTTAACCGAGGACTACTTGTGCCAGGTTTCCCTAGCTAGTAGTCTGGCCCATGTATTTTGGATCAGTTGCAGTTTATTATTTATTTATCAAATTTATCGAGAAATGACTCTGGGTGGCGTACAGCACAAAAAGTATAAAAAACAAATATATCAAAAACAACCAAAAACTAAAAAGAAAAAAAGGGCATAAGACACACAAGGGATTAGATCAGCAAAGGAGCCACCTCAGGATTTCACTGGTCCCCTGAGATTCCCAGTCCAGATGACATAGCTAAGTCTTGAGGGACTTGCGGAAAATAAGTAGGGATGGAGATGACCTTGCTTTGGGGGGAGAATGTTCCATAAGGCAGGCACCACGGCAAAGAAGGCCTGTCTCCTTGGGCCTGCCAAGTGTAGTTCCCTGACTGATGGGACCCATAGCATGTTTCTTGCCGGATCTGGTGGGACGGACAGAAGTAATCAGGGAGAGGTAGTCCCTCAAATAACCTGGCCCCATGCCATGAAGGGCTTTAAAGGTCAAAACCAGCACCCTGAATTGGACCCAGAAGCAGAATGACAACCAATGCAGCTCCCGGAGCAGAGGTGTAATATGAGCTGTTCTAGAAGCACACATAACTGCCTGCGCTGCTGCATTTTGCACCCGCTGAAGCTTCCAGATACTCTTCAAGGGCAGCCTCACACAGAGCACATTACAGTAATCGAATCGGGATATGACTAGGGCATGAGTGATTGTGAACAGAGCTTCCCAATCCAGGAATGGTGCAACTAGCGCACAACACGAAGCTGTGCAAAAGCCCCCTTAGCCACGACTGCCACCTGCTCTTCAGAGGTGAGGAGGACCCTCAGATTGCCCAGCGGGTCTGTCTGGGCCCATACAACCCCATCCAGCTCCAAGGATGGCATAGTCCTGGAACTGGCAGGACCCCAAACCCAAAGTCACTCAGTCTTGCCAGGGTTCAGCTGAAGCCTGTTGTTCCCCATCCAGACCTCACAGCCTCCAGACACTAGGATAAGACATCCACAGCATTGCTTAATTCACCAGGGGCGCAGATGTATAATTGGGTATCATCATCAGTTTCCAAGATGTCTCCAAAGGCAGCCTCACAGAGATCAGTTGGGTAATAATAAGAATGTGAGTTACTGCTACCAGGGCTTCCTTGTCTGTATGGCTGTAACTGATGCTAATGGTCATTTTGGACACACACACACACACTCACACACACTGGCATCAAGTGCCACCTACCGTAAGATAATCAACATAACCTGCACTTTCAATTTAAAGAAAAGTGACACATTCTACTACGTGTGTGTGTGCACGCATGCACGTACCTTTGAGTCAGTGTTGATTCCTGGCAACTGCCTGGACTAGTCCCTGCAGTTTTCTGGGCAAGATTTCAGAAGTGGTTTGGTCTTGCCTTCTTCCTAGGCTGAGAGAGAGTGACTGGCCCAAGGTGACCTGGCTGGCTTTGTGCCTAAGGCAGGACTAGAACTCACAGTCTCCCGGTTTCTAGCCTGGTGCCTTAACCACCACACCAAACTGGCTCTCATTCTAATTATTGCTGATAACAAAACATTCTAACCATGGCTGATAACAACAACAGTTCTTGTAAATGGTGATGCATATCCCTTTTGCTGCTGGCCCCCACTTTTAAATCAGATCCTCCATTCTTATTGCTTTTAAGGAGACCATCTGCCCTCAATCTATAGTATTACATCCTTAGGCTGTATAACTACAGGCAAATATTTCTGCTACAATTTGAAACAACACAGAGCTCATGCTTTGTTGTTGTTCATTTAAAACACAGTGACTTATGGGAATTCAATGCCATTTCTGTCAGGCTGTAGTGTTTAAAGTGACAGGTGAGAGGAATTTAAAATATGCCAGGAATAACGCTAGTACATGTATGCAATTAATGTAATCAGCATTTATTTTCCCCTGGCCCCACCCAGTTCTTCATCTTTGCTTCTACTTACCATTGCAGTCCTATCCTTGGTGCTTCATTCAAAGGGCCAGTGTGGCTTTCAGCAGGTTATCTTGATAGTCGAGAAACTTAATAGTTCAGGCCGGGCCTCAAGTCTGTTGCTTGTAATAAACAGTATGAAGACATGGGCACTTTGGCAATACACAAACATTTTATGTAAGACTGATACAGTGTTTTCATTTAAAAGAAATGAAACATTTTAATTGGCAACAATTGCCAAGGATCATAAAAAGTGCCACAAAGCCTTACGATGGGATACGGGCAGGGATGGTAACATGTACGAAGAACAAACGAAACAAAAATGCCAGTCCATAGATAGAATCCTTTATCTTTCCATTTTTCTGGGTGATGGAACGTTGCAGGTTATGGAAACCACAGATTGGGTAGTTGCCACGCTCATTGATTCATTCTTTTATTTATTACCTTTATATCCAGCTTCTCCTCTAAGGAACAAGGTGACATACATGGTTCATTAGAAAAAAGAACTCTCTCCCTCAAAAGGAAAAAACGAGGCACATTATGCCCATGATTAAGACCAACCGAAACTTCATATTGTGAGCGAGCTTATTAGATTTACAGTTAATTTTCCTTCAGAATAGAGGTTAAGGAAAAAATGTGGGAGGGAGAGGAGAGACTATGAGGACTAGTTTCCTTGCAAGGAATAGAAGTATTTGAATGCTGTGTTTCCACAAAATATAGTGCTGGGCCATGTTGTTTACTGGATAGCAAATAATATTGGGCGTCCAGTCTTGAAAATCAACTTCATGCTGGTTGAGAGAATAATTTTGATGTGTAATTCCAGTAGTAGAAATGTCTTCCAAGTGGTAATCTCCACTAGTTATCATGAACACTCATGGGCCAGGACGGAGGTAGGCAAGGGCTGGAGAACAGGAAAAGCAAGATGGGGGACGTGGTGCTTGCCACTGAGGTCATACAGACACTTCCAGTATTAAAAGAGAGCCCTAAGAATTTTAAAAAGCATTTCTCTTTAAGTTTCTATGGACACAGCTCTTGAATAGGGAAAGGTTTCTAATTAGTAAATAACTAACTCTGGTTATATTTTTAACAATACACGATAGAGGCGGAGAAGTTACTACCAAGGAGACCAACCTTTTTTTGCCTTCCCTAGAGCTGCCAAGATTTTAAAATCTACGGATTGCACACTATTGGCTACCTGAAGATCTTTTGGCAGGAAAAATCTGTAAGCCCACTTAGAAAGGCATTTAGGTGGATGCTAAACATTTTGCGCAGCGTCGGTCTAGCTAGCCTTACCTGGAGATGCCAGGGACTGAACCTACCACCTTTGGCTGTTCTACCACTGCGCCACGGCCCCTTCCCAAGGATTTCCAAGTCCTATAACAGAAGGCTTCTCAGATGCCCCCCAACCCCCGTCACTCAAATCAGGAGAGCAAGCGACGGAAGACAAGCGCCGGCGACCGCCCAGGCTCCGCGCGCCTCGACGGCGGCACCTCCACGTGACCACCACCACCGCTGTCCAGGCGGGCTCGCGTGCGCGTGGGGCTGTGGAAGTCCCCCGGGTTGGGGAGCACCCTCGCCTCGCGCGAACTCCTCGTCTTGGCCGCGGCGCCTCTGCCCGACCCTTCTCGGCGTGCCTTCGAGCTGGTCCTTCAGGGGTGGTCCGCGGAAGCTCCACTGCAGCAGAAAAGCTGCTCCCGCGCCTGGGGGAGAGTCCCCGGGCCGCCGCCGCGGTTGGC